GTGAGCCACTGATTATCACAGAGGACGCGCTGCTATTGCAAGCTCTCCAGGCGCGAGGCTGTGTTGCAATGTTTTCTGTTTTCATTGTTTTCCACCATCTTTCCATCACACCTCATGCAACTCTGCTAAAGCTGCACAAGAGAGGGTGCCGCAGGGTTTTGGAAGCTCAGACTCGGTACTTGCACAGGCTTCCCCAAGGCTGGAACCTCACACCAGCTGGGTCACCCACCTGAGTCTGCAGAGGGGGAGACAGAGGGCAGCCTGACATGATTATAAAAGTAAGTACACACTGAAGGGTTCAGGCAAACTAGAAAGTACATTCTGACTAGAGCCTGAGACCCACCTTTGTCTCCAACAAGCTGGGCAAACACCATGTCTCCACGCCTCTGAATGACAGGTTGGGACCTGATGAGCTCAGGATTGTGTCAGTTTTATGTTCGACATCCACATCTTTGGTGTCTCCCAAGAGTAGAGCACTTTTTCTAGGATGGCTCAGACTTCTGGAGAATATGAATGAAGTCCTTTCTCCTCCATCTACTTTTTTTTAATGCCTAAGCTGAAGGAGCAGCCTGCTCATCTCAAGCTTGCGATGCTTGGCATTCATGGCACAAATGGTGAGGCAGCCTCATCGGACAACTGGTCACCTTCCCAGGGCACTCTCCCTGGAGGGCTGAGCAGCCCACAGTGTCGCTCCACACCCCACCAGCTCTTGTCATTTCATGTCTGTTCTCTGTCATTTCAGAAAAAACACTTTACACATACCTGATGAGAAAAGTCTGTTATTTACCAAGTGGCACATCCAAGTCTACATTCAATTTACAGAGTGTTTTCTGGTTTGGTCTGTTTCCTTTTTTTTGGTCTCCAGCTATACCTACCTTATTAGAGGCATTGGGAATTGTCATATTTTTATTGTATTATTCTATCCTTACCTGAAAACATTAACGAAACATTTCCATGCATTAGAATGCTTTATTGTTTTTAACTATCATTTCTAAAAGTTTGTTTAAAACAAGGGCTGAAGGAGTAGGCAGGATGAAATAAATATAGACAAATTATGTTTATAAAATGTAGAAAGTCAGGAAAACAACAAGCAGATTGGACTATTCACCGAGGGCCTACTCTGTGTGGAGAGCACAGGCTGAGCCACCCAGGCTGCAGCAGGAAGGAGTGGCCAGTGGCAACCTGGGTCTCTGCCACCGCAGAGAAGGTGCCTAGTGGGGGGGGGAGGCGGACAGGAACAAATGAGCTTATCATACCACGGCAGCCTGTGAGAACCACCACTAAGGACCGTCTAGGCCTCTGACTGAGCTAAAGAGTGGCAGGGCTGCTGTCTGTAAACAGCTCGACTGAGAAGGAGTCTCTGGGGGCCACCCCCTGAATAAGCCTTAGGAGCTCAGGGTGGCACAGGCTCCAAGCCAAGGGCACAGCAGAAGCAGAAGTGGAAGCCCGCGGGTGTGCCGGGGAGAGTGCAAGGCCAGTGCTGCCCGCCCTGAGTGAGCAAGGACCAGAGGAGTGAACCCTGCGGCGGCTCCCGGGCCGGGCTGGGGAGGCCCCGGGTGCGAGGAAGAGCTTCGGCAAAAACTCTGTGAGACAGGAAGCCACTGGAGGGTTCTGGGCACAAGGGAGGGGGGTTAACTCTAATAAAACGAAGAAGAGAGGGCAAAACAGTGTAGGATGAGGGTAAAGGGAAAATCCACCTCCCCGAGGACACCAGACAGAGTTCTGCAGACAAGGTAACTCTCGACTGCAGGTGAATCCATCTTCTTGGCCCAAATGCTAGAGGGATTAGGCACAGGGAAGCCACACTCCACCCAGGGCAGAGCAGCCCTCAGTAAGGACTGAGAAAAGGGGCAAAAGGAGACCCAAGGGAAGTACCACTGCCTGAAACGGTCAAAGAAATGGCCCAGGGTGCTTAACAGAGAAGGCTCCTATTAGAGCCAGGTACAGCCATTGCATTGGATTTGACAGCTACACAGCTACTGGACAGTTCAGTGAGAATAACTTTATTTTACTGGTGGTATATTTACAATTGTGATATTGTTATTTATAATAAGAAATATATCCCCATCCTAGCACAGGACTCCTAAAATCCTTGAATTTCCTGTGATGAGAGTAATAAGTGTCCTTTTTATGAAAATAAGATGATGACTTTTGGAAAACTCCTAAGGATGAGGGCTGGTCCCCTGTGGAGCCAACCATGTAATTCCAGAGTTAGACCTTCAGTCCCACTCTAGACCTCTGGGGACGGAAGAGGGGCTAGAGACTGAGTTCAATTTCCAGTGGACGATGATTTAATCAATCACACCTATGTAATAAAGACTCCATAAAAACCCAGGAGGACAGGGTCTGGAGAGCTTCTGGGTTAAGGAATCAGAATGTATCCATGTGCCACCATGCCGTGTCCTCACCTTCATAAGGACAGAACCTCCTTTGTTCAGGACCTCACCCTATGCATTTCTTCATAAGTGGTTTCCTGAGTTCTATGAGCCACTTAAGCAACTTAATCGAATCCAAGGAGGGAGTCAGGGAAACCTATGATTTCTAGTCAGTTTTTCACAAGCAAAGGCAACAACTTAGAGTTGTGATTGACCTATGAAATGGGGACAATCTTGTGGGACTGAGCCCTTCACCCTGTGGAATCTGATGCTATGTTCAGGTAGACAGTGTTAGAATGGAGCTGAACTGTAGGAAGGACATCCAGCTGGTGTCGAAGAACTGCTTGGTGTGAAGAAAAAACCCACACATCAGAATTGGATACAAAACTTCGAAAATATATTCAGACTTTTAAAAAAAGAACAGCATAGTACTTTAGTTCTTAGTTTAATGGGGCCTATACGGCCTGCTTATTTTAAATTTAAATCAATAATTCTAAATGTTTTGAACTGTCCTAAATGTTATTCAATATTTGCTCAGAGATCAGTAACCCTTTTATGGATAGTGTGATTATAACAAGTACCTAAGAAAAAGCATAATGATTGTGTAAGTTCTAGGAAATAAAGTCAACTCCCAATTTTCTGGATCGATGAAGAGAAACAGTGGCATGGGAAGCAAGTGTTCCTGTGCTCTTCACCCAGCCCCACTGTGCCTCGATAACCAAAAGCAGCCATTAAGTCATTTAATCCTACTGGCCTGCAAGTTCCAGAGGTAAAGTAACTTGCACAAAGGCACAGAGCCAGTCAGAGAAGAACAGATTTTAAATCCAAGTTTTTCTAACTCCAAAGTTGGTCATATTCCCAAGCTTGGTTAATTTTCAAAGCAAGAGGTATTAGACATCCACTGCCCAATGGAGTAGGTAATCTGTGGGTGGATACCTAACAACAAAGGAAAAGAAATGAGCTCTATTTAAAGCAATTTAACATCAAATGCAACTGGGATTACAGTTCCAAATGATGTGACTAAAAAAACTGCCAAAAAAGAATCACGTAGATGACCACGATAGGCATGGCTTTTTTGGTTCTGATATTTTTATATCTTTTTAAAGACACTCATGGAATGCAAAGCATGAGAGAAAGACCTTGACAACTTAATAGTGCTACATCTTAAGTATTTAATTTTGATTCTAAGTACAGAAAAAGTCCACCATGAAGGGCTATATACATTAGATAAAACACAAAGTGCCCTCGTGGCATGAGAAAAGGAAGGTCTTCTCTGGCAGTGGGATACAAGGCGATCTGCAGGTGAACATTTGTGGCTGTGAATGGCAGCTAAGGGGCAATTGTCATCACTTGGCTATACAAACTGACTGCTTATGAAACATTCAGGTCAAGAAGTCAGTTAAGCAGCTTGACAAAGGAGCAGGCAATGGGTGAGGTAGAGTGAAGAGAGCTGTCCCTATACCTGAATGCTGACTCATCCCCTACCTCTGTTGAAATCATTCCTATTTGAGAAAGTTCCTGGGATGAGAGACTGAGGTGGGCATATGGGTGTGTGGGGGGATGGTTAACATAAAGAGAACCATTTCCCTGGCATGCTGGGGTGTGAAACCTGGGAAAATAAAAAGCAGGATCAAAGAAACCACAAAGCACAAGTGCTTACACTCTTCTCCAAATGTGGTGCTGAGCATGCCTCCCTGTGTTACCTGCTCTGTGTACAGACCCTGCGCTCGACGAAGTGCTGTAAGTTATACAAGGACCTGCACCTTATTGACTTTGTGGTTTTGGAAGAACCTAGCAAAATGTAAAAATGCTTGTCATATTTTCAGTAATCCTTCTCGTTTCTATAAGAAGTTAAGGAATTCTTTCAAAGATAGTCAGTCCTTTTAGATTAAAGGTCCAAGCGTCACTGGGCTGGCTCAATGAAATATATATTCATTAATAGAATAACTTGCTAGTTTCATCGCAAGAAGCCAAAAGGAGGGGAACAGAAAAAGTGATCAAACAAAACACACAAGAATGCAGAGTGCTTGCACATGTGTCTAAAATTAGTCATTAGTCATGGCCGCCTATTCTGATTAGAAGAATCCTTCAGACAAAAGAGTAAGATATTTTGGTTCAAGGTTCATTAGAATTTAGAGTGGTTACTTTCCTTGCAAGACAGAATAAACATACCAATAGAGGTTTTATAAAATATTTACTATTTTTTTAATTGCTGAAATTTAAAATATTTGTTTTTTTCTAAAACATTTTGAAATCTATTCTAAAAAAAAAAATCAAGATGGAATGTTTAAAACACCAAAACATACTTCAGCTAAAAGCAATGGCCAATCTTAGACAGATTTAGGACTGGCTCCATTTCTCAAACTAAAATGTAAAAAATAAAGATTCTTTTAGATAACACTATCAAAATAATTTCTTGATGATTATAACTTTTCATTTATATGAAGCATGCCCTTTGAGGCTTAATTTTGAGTAAATGGCTTTCAGTGTAGCTGCAGTGATGATTAATCAATTCACCTATCTGATATTTAGCTTTCAAGTACTTATAATGACATGAAAAAACATCATTAAGGTAGGAATTCAGGCTAAGTATTTTAAAAGCAACAACAAAGACAAAATACTCACGATATGGCACTTCCAATGGATGTCCTGTTACATCACACCATCCAATTGGGTGAATGTCAGGGCTGTCTGCATCCATCCAATAGTCATATTTGTGGTCCCAGCCATCAAAATGAACCTGTTGAATAATTAGTATTCAGTAATAAGTTTCACTATTCCTGTAGCAAAATATTGAAAAACAGATTTCCAAAACTGACAATGAAATTTTATTAATCACACGTTACAGCCGAAACAATATTTAAAATGTGTTATCAAATAGCCTTCTACTCTAGCCACCAAAGGCTATTGCACCATTTTTTTTCCAAGAATTTAGAGAAACTGGTAAACAAAAAATCTGTCAGGATTGATTAGAATTTGAAGAAATAAGTTCAGTCCATTTTCCCAATTAAGAAATACTATAAGCATGTTCTCTGTCCTGGTAGCCACTGCAAGAACCGGGTCAGCATCATCAATAAGAGTCCCATTTGATATCAGTACCAGCCTTATACAGATAAGAGATGAACAGATTAGAGTTCAAGGAAGCAATGCATTTCAAATCCTAAAAAATGAGGAGATAGAGCCATTGGAGCAGGTGAATATCCCTTCACAAACAAGTGTAATATATGCATAAAGTGAATACTAGTCAACAATTTAAAAAATAGTTTATACCCTCATAAGCATGCATCAAACAGACCATGTTGAGCAGAAGACGCAGACACAAAAGAATGCATACTCTGACTCCATTTATATGAAGTTTAACAATAGGCACAAAAATCAGAACCATGGTTTTCTGGAAGGGGGTGGGGAGTGGAACTGACTGCAAAGGAACACAAAGAAACCTTTTTTAGTGTAAAAATATGCCAAATCTTGAGTGGGTTGGTGCTTCTGTAAGATACACATGTTTCAAAATGCACACACAATCTGTACATTTTATCATTTGTAAGTTATATTTCATTAAAGCTAACTTATTTAAAATAAACATTCAGCAGCTGTCATTGGAGTTTTTCTGATCTTTTACTATATTTTATTATTTTTTAAAATATGCTTTTATTGATTTCAGGGAAAGGAAGGGAGAGGGAGAGAGATAGAAACATCAATGATGAGTCATTGATCGGCTGCCTCCTGCACGCCCCCTACTGGAGATGGAGCCGACAACCCAGGCATGTGCCCTGACTGGGAATAGAACTGTGACCTCCTGGTTCATGGGTCAACATTCAACCACTGAGCCACGCAGGTTGGGCTATATTTTATTTATTATGATATTTTAGCACTCTAGACATAGCCAAACTGCATCATACTACAAGGCAACTAAATATTCCAGTTATGAAAAGGCAAAACTGAAATTCTTTTCTAGAATGATGATGCTGGTTGCTTTGGATTTACCAATAGAAAGAAGTTTATGTAAGTGTGTATAATAAATGGGGTGAAAAAAATTCTCAAGCTTTAAAATTTCAACCTATTTAATTTCAATATCCTTCTTTTTTCCATTTGCAGTGCAATTATTTATGTTTCAAAAGCAAGCAAACAAGCACCCTTTAAACACAAACAAGTGGGCCACATGCTCCAGCAAGACTCTACTTCAAGGAGTTAGGACTTTCTATTTCAGGTACTGAGCCTGCACCTGGGAATCCTACTGTAAAACTGAGTCTAAAACTGAAAAACTAAAAAGATAACATCTTAAACATTTTTTTGAAAGCTAATACAATGTTTTCATGTACTCTATTCAACATTTTCCCTTATGTTCATTAAGAAATGTTAAATTGTCCTTTCCAAGCTGTACATAATTATTTACAATGAAGGAATGGGAATTAAAAATACCCCATTAATCCAACAATGCGAAACTCCTCTCCACTGCAAAGGCAGTCTAAACTTAGAACATATAATGAAAATCTGTACCCAGTACATCTTTATGGAAAATATTTTCCTATCTTTGAATTTTTATATCTCTGGAGTAAAAATCCAATTTTAAGAATTCTAACCAGATGGTCAAATTTATAAAGGAGATTGGCATTTTAAGAATATTTACAGAGTTCTTTTTTAAAGCAAAGAATCATTTTGAAAACCAAATCATCTCTAGCACTTTATTTCATATTTATAATTTTTTCACATATTTGGGTTTGAATAAAGCTGAGTGAACATATAGATCCTTCTTGCTCAGATTCTGATAAACTAGAACACAAAGGTCAGATAACAATCAATTACAGTCTCAAGTTCGTATCCTTCAGTGGACAGTGATGCTTCCCGATGGTAGTAATATTATATGCATGACTTACTAGGGACTGGAAAAGAACTTGGACATTTAAAAACTAGATCAGCATATAAAAGGCCAAGGACACACTCCTTAGCATAAATCCAAAGCTGTCAATCCTCTGGACTGACTCTTTCCTGCTTTATCTTTACATTTACTGCCCAGTGTCCACACCAGGAGCTTTCTCATGAGCTTTGCCCTTTTGCCCGAGTTATCGCTGCTGCCTCCGTGATTCTTAGCACTGCAGCTTACACATCGTCAGACCTCAAGAACTATCGGCTGAAAATACGCATGATGGTGCTCATCGCTCCTTGCTACTCCTTTGGGCAGCTAGGAAAAAGCAGCTATTTATCTAAGAACACTGGAGCTAAATGTAATGCTCAATAACAACAATTTTATTAGCTTAAGTTATTAGTATACTTATTTGCTCCTTCTATATATTTAAATTTTTAACTTTCATTTTAACAGGAATATTAGATATGTGTACTTTACTGTCACAGGCCTCTAATCCATTTTAAAGGCTTATGGTGAAAGCATTATTAGAATACATATGATATTAACTTATTTAGAAAGAGGGCTGACTGTACCTGAACTCTTTTAGTTTTAATTGAATACACTTTCCGTTAGCTAAACTTAGCCTTAAATTTCATTCTAAGAAGATGAACTTAGCCTTTATATATTATCCCAATACCACTTACTCAAACCATTGACTCTAATAAGACTGCAGTAAATCTTACCTCCTGTGATGCAGGGCTCTGCTGTGGGATGGGGTGGGGGAATGCAGGAACAGTACCGCAGCCAGACATCTGTCCTGCGGCAGGTCAGCTTTCACAAAATACCACTGAGATCCAAGGGCAAGTGTTGGGTATGGCAGGGGGATTCACTTTTACTGTGTGCTTAACATTCCAGGCATAGTTGTAAAATAAATGTATTCTCACTTAATGTCCACAATATGTTGTTTTCATAGATGACCAAAGTAACTTTTTAAGACGTTTGCTGAGATCACCCAGCCAGGAAATGGCGAAACCCAACTTAAGCTGAAAACAGTTTAATGAGAAAACCATAGAAGAATCTAGACTGTGAGGATATTTGGGACTACTATACCTAAGAATCTAGTGTGGCGGAGGTAAATTACATTTTTAAATTTAAAAAGACATTTTCATAATGAAAGTAAAATAACTTGGAATAAAACAGGGCTGCAGTACAGAACTAGCTATACTTCTGCATATTAAACATTAATTCCACGTTGTGCCAATCTGCTTACATGTCTATCCAGGCAAGAACAGAGGGGGAGAGAACATAGAAAGAAAGAAATTATGATGGGAAAGTTTACATACTTTAAATTTTACTTTCATATGTTACCTCCATTTACATATGAAGCTACTGAGATGCATAGGAAGAAATGTGGTGCCACTTCCAAGTCCTTGTGATCTGAAAGCCCTCACTCTCCTCACCATGAGCCTGTAGTGTGGAACCCATGGCCCCTATGTTCTTTCCCACTGCCTCCACACCCACTCTTGGTAAATTACCTCAATTCTCTTTCCCTGCGAACCTCCCAGTAAACCCATCTGCTCTTTCAACAAATACAATTGTTTCTATTTTCCTTCTAGTCCAACTCTTTTAATCTCTAAATTGGAAAATTAATAATATTCACTATAGCTATTTTAAAATTATTTTCATTTTTCAACATCACTGCCCAAATTAATCATATTACTTGGGCAATGTTTTCAAAATGCAGTAAGCAAAATATCAACCATCCTTTACTATCACAAGGACTCTAATTCATTGGGGGAGGGTCAGAAGTGATGCCTGGAAATTGCATATTTTTAACCACATGGCCTAAGATTATTGTGTTGAAGGTGGCTTTTGGATACAACTCTTTGAATGTTTCTTTAGGGTGCTGCCATGGCAACAAGGTTGTTAACTGAACTTGCCATCAAACTCACAGTTCTATCTAAAGCAATCAAGAATAACCTAACTTTTTTTTTAAGTCATAGCTCTTTTTTAATTTTGAAAGACAATGAGCCCAAGGAGAAACCTGGTTGAAAGCCTAATGCAGAGTGCATTCAACTCCAAATGTTTCCATTTGTGATAAATGTCTACACAAGTTTCTACTGCTCTATTTCTATGGTTATGGGTACAACAAATACAATTAGCTTTTCCCATAAGATATGTTTTCCCCATAAAGATCCCCAAGAGAAATTTAAATGCCACATTTCTAACAGAATCCCCAGGGCTTTACTTCTTAAGAAATCCTTAACTATTTCATCAGAATTAGGCATAGTGACAGCCGCATTCAGGGCTCCAAGGCCACATGTCTGTGGGTAATATCTTAGAAAGAAAAACCTTCTTCATAAGCAGTGTGAGGACAAACAACCTCAAAGTCAGGTTATAGTTATAACTAACATAAATATCCTCATGAACTCTGCCCAAAAATGCACTGCGTGTTAAGCATGGATGCAGCATGCACTGCACAGTCACTGTTAATAAAAAGAACATTTCCTTTCTGGTTGTTCACCGGGCTGCTGCTCTCCCCCTTCCATTCAGGACACCCGCCCTTGCAGGGGACAGTGTTTCAACATGTGCTCCCATTTATCCTCGCATTCTGAATTTCCACTCTGGATCCTTCATCAAGTCATCAAAGTTTTGCTACTAAATCATACATGATTTATACTCATTATAGTAATCGAAGATAGGATTTCTAAATAATAGTAGGACATGTAAAAAGGAAGAAAGGCTGATTATATCTTGAGAGACCACATAATGTATTGTCCAAATGGGACATTTCTGAGGATAAGAGAGAGGGCTACTAATGATTACACAATTGTAACAGGCATAATCCAGGACTATCCTAGGTAAGCCACGATATATAATTACTCTAGATAGATTAA